GCGCCCGACGTACAGTGCGAGCACGCTGACGCCTTGTTCCTGGCTAGGAACAGGCTTGCCAGCCAGTGGAGTCTGATGCCACTCACTGAAAGGAGAGCTGCAGGGCTTCATTAGAGGGGGGAAAAAAGGTTAAATTAGGTTGATTTGGTGCATTTTTCCTGTGCGCCGCTTCTCACTTCTGTTGATTGGATCTTTATTCTTAGAATCATCTTCAGGGCCATGAGAGCTTGGCCTGTGGAGATTTTTCATCTCCAGCTCAGTCGCTGCTCCAGGCTGAGCACTGCTGCTACCAGATACTTCTTGAAATTACCTTCCAGGGGCATTGCTTACACCTGAAACGTATGCAGCTGGTGCTATGACGCATTGAGAGCTGCCGGAGGGTGATAACGTGTCTCGCTCTCCTCAGATGCTTGGTTGTGGGTTTGGGCCATCCTCCCTGGTGTCCCAGTGCCATGGTGAATGCTGGCGCCAGGAGGGAGGGGATCTCTTGGGCAGCGGTGTGTCTGGAGCTGCATCAGGCCTTGCCTTGGGAACTCTAAAATGCAGCAGGGAAGGTCCGCCTGGGCAGGTGGATGGATCTGTATGCAAACACATGGAAACAGATGGAATTTTAACAAAAACCGCTGGGCCCCGATGGCTGAGTGATAACCAGTCAGTAACTGGTGGATAGGATCAGTAATTAAGAGACATCTATTGATTTGCTTGTTATTTTACATTTTGAGTCATGACTGGTTTGGGTTCTGTCTGTACAGCAGCTAAGCTCTGTGAATTAACTCTGCATCCCAGTAACTTGTGTTGGCTGTAGCAGAGTTTCCAAGAAGTGGCCTCTGAGGCCGTTTTTAGTTTCTGTTGGCAGCACTGGCCCCGTAGAGCGAAGACTGACAGGTGTCAGCCTGATTGTCAGTTCGCTCTCTTTACTGGGAGCCTACTGAAACCCACTGAAATCAGCAAGTTGAATGTTTTAAAAGGCCCCTTGTTGACAGATCTGCAGAGTGGTGATTTCCTCCTGAAGTGCTCATCTCGCTGTCATTAGTAAGAATCGGACGCAGCGGTACGTGGGGAGTGGATCTCACCTAATCATGCATCCACTTATTTTGCTGTTTGCCTCGTAAGATCTTACAGGCCCTTGGAAAGTCATACCATCCTGGCTGCTTCCGCTGCGTGGTGTGTAACGAGTGTTTGGATGGAGTCCCCTTCACTGTAGATGTGGAGAACAATATTTACTGTGTCAAAGACTACCATACGTAAGTATGCAAATCCATTGTATGCTTGGAAAGATGAGAGAAATTAAATTATTGGTGTAGTTTTATAAGCCTTGTAGTAGATGAAAAGGGTTGCTCCTGCTTGCTCACATGTGCCTGAAGTGCTGCTCTCACGTGCTGCATTTTTAAATGGAAGGTGTCCCTGCCCATGGCAGGGGGTTGGAACTGGATGATCTTTAAGGTCCCTTCCAACCCAAACCATTCTGTGATTTGCACTGAAAGCAGCCAGTCCCTGGAAGAGTCTGAATGGCTTTATGAGTAAAGGAAGGTAAGAAAAGGGGGGGTGTGGAGAGGGCTGGATTCCCTATGCCTAGAGGTCAGGAAGACCTAAGCTGGGGTAGATCAGCCTCTCCTTTTCCCTGAATATCATCAAACATGTAGAGGTGTTTCAAATTCTGTGGCCCTACGTTTTTCTACAGACAAGGCATGGTTAGAATAGCGCGCTCGGTTTTGAAGAAGCTTTAAATGTGTTCTTTAAACACTTTCTTCTTGCACCCTAGGGTTTTTGCACCAAAATGCGCTTCCTGTAACCAGCCGATCCTACCAGCACAGGTACGTGTTCACATGCACTGACTTTTTGGAGGAAACAGCTGTTGGCATACGAAGACTTTCTAAAAACACAGTTGATGCTTTTCCTCCCCCTTCCAGAATCCATACTGTGTCAGATAATTAATGCAGCTCAGCAGTAATGGCACTCCCAAACTTTCCCAGAGGTTGTAATAGTCACGCTACTTAGTACTTTGTATCTTTAGGGTGCTTTCCAGGCCCTAATTATGATGTTATAAATCTCATTTAATCAAAAGCCCTGATGGGGGCTCCAAGAGCAACCCAAGAAGTAAAGCCCTGTTTATTTTTAGCATCTCCCATTAGCTCAAGCAGCAATTTTCCTTGTCTGCTACGTTTGCATTTCTGATGTGGATCTGTTAAGATGCCCAGCGTTGAAAAGGTGTCTGAGGGTTACCCTGACCCTGTGAAAAGGCCTCACAGTCTGCTGTCCTGAGGTGGCAATGGAACGGAACCACTTAAAGCGGTGGAAAAGGGGTGGGCTAAAGGGAAGCCAGGTGAATGACCCGCTTGCACCCTCAGCCTGTCCTGGCAGCGGAGTTGGCATGATAAGACTTCTGTGTGAAGACGCCCCGTTTCTGCCTGCCCGCAGTGGGGCTCCCTCAACCCGTGGTGGGTGCAGGACCGTCTGAGTTCCCACTGCTGCGCTCACTGACCAGCTCGTTTGTAAGCAAGGGCCTCCGCGCCTCCCTCCTTTTCCTCCTCACGTTTGTAGAGCCGGAGCTTGCATCCTGGAAGCTGCTGTGCCCCAGCACGCCTGTGGGCAGAGCCTCTCAGCATGCCACCTCCACCGCTCTGCACCTCGCTCTCCGTTTGTCAGCCCTGTTTCTGTTAAATGGCCCCGTCTCACTCATGTAATTGAAAACCTTCGGAAGGGTGAGCCACAGCTGCTGGGCCTGGCCATGGGGTGTGAAGCGAAAACCCTGCTGTAAATTTCACTGGATTTGTGTCTTACAAAATGACTTCAAAAAAAAGAAGAGCAGTCGTCCTGCTGACTCATCTGATGGCCAACGGGGTAGGCTCCATGTGCTTTCCCAGGGAGGTTTCTTGGGTTAGTTCTAGTCTAGCAGAGCGGGTACTAACTTGCCCACAGCTTCTCTCAGACATACTCTACGTCATATCTGATGCTCTAACCACACCTGGAGCTGGAAACAATGCGAGGCAACAAATTTAATGAGCTCTGTCTTCAGAGAGGATCAGGGGAAGAGCCTGTGAGGTTACACGAAGGGTACGGGTTGCTCGGCAGGGCCTGGGGCTCAGCCAGGAATTACACAACTCCATCCACCCTCACGCTGGGGTTTTAGCCTGTGCGCATAATTACCTGCCACTGGTATGTAAATCCCTGTGGGGTACATACGGTGACATACGTGCGTGCAAAATAGCCGTGTGGCAGATGGTTTGAGGGGGATACAAGTCCTGGAAAGCTCAGGCCGGGATGTCTGTCTACAAGGGAAAGTTACCCAAGTCAGTTTTTGGCCGGTAATTCGCTCAGATGCTGGGTGCCTTCGGAAGATCATTGGATTTCAAAACTAACTTGTCCCTTGAGGGTGAGGTTTTGGCTATGCTTCCCAGATGACCTCTGCAGCGTAGGTACGTCAGACACCCACGCTGCTGCTACACAGCAAACCCAGCATTGCAGCGCTGCGCACCAGGGGCCAGCCCGCGGCGGTCAGAGCCCCGCTCTGCCGAGGAAGAGGGGGTCCCTCAGGGAAACAGCTCTCCAAAGCAGCAGGTTGGGCGCTGACGGAACGCGAAGAAAACCCCGCGTGCAAGCCCGCTCCGACCTTCTCTCTGCTTCCCCAATAGGGCTCTGAGGAGACCATTCGGGTGGTGTCCATGGACAAAGACTACCACGTGGAGTGCTACCACTG